ATCTCACTTCCACTGTGCACTTGTGTGGTGGTCCACCCAGCAGTGGCATTAGGAGTATACCAGTAAATTGTTGATTGAATTCAGGCTTCTTATTAATTTAATGTGGTCAATAGCAACAGAACCAGCAGGTGGCGCACTGTGATAGCTTTTTGTTCTGAACAATCCAGATTTTTTAAAGTTAGGATTAATTGATAGCAAAGCCACACTAATCTATTTTTTAATTATTCAAACTGTTTTCTAATTTTAAGCTCTGCAAATGTGACCAGCCAACTTTTTTTAAAGATGGAGTGATTGCTGATTTCTGATTGTGTAATTTGAAATACTTTGTTTACTACTGTTTTATTTCTTGTTATGTAAAGTCTAGACTGTGGAGGGCCAGGAAGGTAATTGATTTTTGTTTTCACTTGATTTGATAAGCCGTAACATGAAGTTTAATTTTAGTCGATTTGAGTCACAATCAGGTATTTCAGGTTTAACAGAGAAATTACCTTTGGTTACCATCTATTAAAAGGGACATACAAATTATGATACTTTTTAAAAATCCACCATATTTCTGTAAAATATTTCTTTTATATTTGATAATGCTGCGGTGAAAACCTCTCAGGCTGTTTTATTGTGCTGTAAATGTAAGCTGATGATGTTGCAAAAGCATAAAGATATTTTAAAATATCTGTAAGTTATCAAATCCATTCAATCCCCTTTTGTTGCTGAGTCCACAGCAGTGTGGAGCTTCCATTGACCTGTCACTCTGGAACTTTGCTTCATTTTCCTGATACCCTCAATCCCCAAAGCTGCCACTTAGAAGCAATTGTCCTGGTTACTGCTCCTGAGAGGAAGGACAATGCACTGCAGCACTGTGTGCTCCCTTAAGGGGCATCGTTTTTAAAGGGACGGTAAGCACAACAGCCTGGACGCCTGAAACAGTTGAGGCCTAGCGGGACAAGAGCCGAATCGAGTAATCTCAGTATGATGGAGAGTTAAATTTCCGAAGTAGTCAATATGTTAGAATTATGGAATGGTTATACAGCACAGGAGGACCATTTAGTCCGTCAAATCCCATGCCCATGTCGGCTCTCAGTGACAGCTACTCAGCTTTTCTGACTCTTCTGTCACCTTGAAAATTTGTTTTCTTTTCAGATAAGTGTCTAATTTTCTTCTGAAAGCTACAGCTGAGTTTGCCTCATCAAGGTTTCTGGCAATACTTTCTGGATCCTAACAAGTTGCTGAGGAGAAAAGATTTTCTTCAAGTCACCTTTGGCTTGTTTGCCAATCACTTTAAATCAGTGTCTTTTGGTTCTTGGTCTAGATTCAATAAATAACAACTTCCTTTCACAGCATGTTTCTAAAGCAACTAAGAAGAATTGTTTGCTTGCTGTCATTTTTTGTAGTAATTTGAAATATGCAGATGACGCAGTAATCATGGCAGATATGAGGAGTATCTAATCAGACTCTGGGATACAACTGTAATGAGAAGTAACAGATATAGAATATCATTAAACTGCAGAAAACTGCATGCTTGGTAGCATCAAAGCAAAGCATACACCCAGGTAGGAAATAATATTCGAATTGTTAAAAATTGCATCATTTTATTACCTTGGAATCCTAATACCATCTGAAGGGAAAAGTGCTCAGGACAGCAGGAAGTGCATGACACTTGCAAAATAACCTTCACAAAAATGTCGAATCTCTTTAGAAGTAAGAATCTGTCTCTGGAAAGCACAATGAGATTACTAAAATGTTTGGTAGCATAGAATTTATACACTACCAAAAAGGAGGCTGGAAGTCAAACTATTCCATCTTGTGCTTTTCAGGACTGAGATGTAAGAAACCAGGTTTAGAAAGAAAACGCGCATTTATACAACATGAGAAGAGTCTGCTGATTGGTTGACATGGAGATGCAACAGGAACTGTTAACTGTCAGTCTTTGTTATCTGGGTAATTTCACACCAAGCAGGTAGACTGATTGTTCGGGGTGTTGCTAGGGGAAATGCAGCAGGGACTGGAAGTTTCTGTAACCCTTTCCTTAATGAAAAAGGTGCAACATAAGGACAAACAGCTTTTGTCTATAAAGAGCGGAGACCTGTGCATGAATATATGTAGCATCTAAGTACGCACAAATAAAATACATTGTAAACCCAATTCTTAACAAGCAGTTAGGATTATTTAGTGACTATTGTCCAGTAGCAGAAACTATGTAATGTTGGATATGGTGTTCTGAGCATTGCTTGCTGACGTGGTCAGTGTTGTAAGAGACGCTCGATCCTACTAGGAACTTATTCAGTTAAGATGTACTGCCATCATCCTATCTTGTAAAACTAATCTGTGTGCCTTAGTGATAATTGGAGAAGGATCAGCCACAAATTGGTCTTTGGCAGAAGAGACACGTACATGAGTAACAAAAGTAGTTTATTTCATAACGATAAGATAACAGGTTACATGAGCATTAGATAAGAGACATTGTTTTCTCCTAAACTAATTCATGGTTGTAGAATGACTGTAGCCTGAGACTAACAGGCTAGCAATTTGCTAGCTCCTCCCAGAGACTGGTATATGTATAATTTGGCAGAACTACACTAAGTGTTCAGTATTAGCCCTGTCAGGTAGACTGCCTTATATACTAGTCTTCACACTGCCTGCTGCAGATGGTCAAAGTGCTGTGATATTGGAAAACAGACCCCCCCACCCGTTGTTGGGACATACTGTAAAGACTATCGTTTTATTTTTCATAATTTTGGTTGAGGATGAAATGGGGAAAAAAGACCATTTTAAAACAAAGGAATTGCTGCACTTTTAAAAAAAGTTACAGGAAGTCATTGCATGTGGTGTTTACTGTGCTGTTTTGTTTAAGCAATGGGGGGAAATCTTTGTTAGAGCATGACAAGATGTGTATGCACTTGAGATTTAGCTGGCAATGAGTAGCTGATTGATTTGTGCAATTGTACCTAGGTATGGATGCAAAGGTTATTAACCTAATGACAAATCTGATTGATTCCTGGGTAGCAGAACTGCTTGTGGGTGTGAATAATGCAGTGAGAAGCATTGGGACTTCTGGAAAGGCAGCTGATGTATTTCCCTCACTGCAGTAAAAATACCTGAAGCCAGAAAAGGTTATTGGAAACTAAAAGTTTCAGCTGCATTCCATGGCAATACTCTGACCAATCAAAGTCCACTTGTTTGGTCAGAGTTTATTCAATTGACTCAAATTGAAAATTTTGAAGAGGTGATTAAGCTGGTGGATAGTGGAATGATATGAACTTCAAGAAGGCATTTGATAAAGTCCCACATAAGAGAGTGTTAATTAAAGTAGAAGCCCATGGAATTGAGGACAAATTACTGATATGGCTGGGAAATTGGTTGAGTGGAAGGAGACAAAGTATTGTTAACGGTAGGTATGGAAATTGGCAGGATGTAACAAGTGGTGTCTCGCAAGGATCTGTGCTAGGGCCTCAATTATTCACATTTTTATTAATGACTTGGATACTGGCATAGAAAGTCATATATCAAATTTGATGATGACACAAAATTAGATGGCATTTTAGACAGTGTAAATGATAGCATAAAATTACAAAGGCAATTTGATAGACTTCGAGGATGGGCAAAAAATGTGGTGGTTGGACTTCTATATTGGACTGAGAAAAAATACATCAGGGTACTTTCTAGATGGCATGAAATTAAATATGGTGGATGTCCAAAGAGACTTGCGCATTCAGAAGTAGAGATCTTAAAAATGTCATAAACAGGTACAGAAGGTAATCAAGAAACCCAATAGAATCCTGGCCATTATAGCTAGAAGACTGGAGTATAAGGATGAACATATCGTGCTGCAGATGTATAAAACCTTGTTAGACCATATTTGAAGTGCTGTGAGCGTATCTGGGCACCACACCTTAGGAAGGATAAATTCACTTTGGACAGAGAATAACGCAGGTTTACACGAATGCTACCTGGACTTCAGGAGTTATGTTATGAGAATAGATTATACAAATTAGGCCTATTTTCTGTAGAATTTAGAAGGTTAAGGGGTGATCTGATCAAAATCTTCAAGAATATTAACAGGAAAAGATGGTAAATAAAGAGAAACTATTTCTACTGTTTGGGCATTCTACAACAAGGGGGGCATAGTCTTGAGAATTACAGCCAGACTGTCCAGGAGAGATGTTTGA